ATAATTTATTTAATGAGTTTCATTCACAATATACCGGTGTACCCTCTCTCGCTAAACAACTTGCTTCTTCATAATTTATTTAAAGAATTTCATTCATAATATGCTTGTGTACCCTCTCCAGCTAAACAACTTGTTTCTTCATTAAATCCACAATATCAAATCTTTTGGGGAAAAACTAAATCAACTTTTACTGTTTCACAAAGCTCGATTAACAAATGTTCTTTATATCTAACATTTCCTTGTGAGTATGAAAAGGCCGAAGAATTTAAGATTCACAAATGGTGAAAGGACAAAGAAGCGTGACGAAACAAGTCATATTCATGTCAATTTAAATGATTGTCGTTGAACAAGAATTTAGTAAAACAACAGCGTCCTAACCGATTATAAAAACGGGATTGAGCACCCAATCTCTCGAGAAGCTTATATGTTTTCACGATTGGTTGAAGGACTACCGGAGAACGCAAGAATTGATCAAAACATTGACCTGCCATTTCATGGAGGAAATGACAACCGATCAAAGATGCAGGAGTTTCAAAAAGTAGGAGATTTATAAATATTTTGTATTGTTTCCAACAATTTTTTTTAGAAATTACTTATTTACACAAATAATGATATGTGTTATGTACAATTTAAATTTAACGTATTTTACATGTTAATTAAGTACCGTTTTTAAAGAAATAATTACATACTACTCCATAGTATTTATGACTAAAATAAGTATTATTTACTAAAATATGACTAGCATTTAAAGAAGTAACTTAATCATAGTAACTTATGTCCAATTTTTAAACTTAAGTGATTATGACACTATATTGTAGCAACTATTAATCATATATGTGTAAATAAGTTTTATTTTAGTAATATTTTTGAAAAAAATCATTTTTTACAATGTACTCCATACAAGTCAATTTAGTTTGGGAAAAACAATTTAAATAGCTCAAATTTTGAAGGGATGTGAAATAAATATCCCAAACTTACATACTCCATGTGTCCCTTATAACTTTGTCAACTTTCATTTTTTGGTTGTCCCAAAACTTTTGTGACTTTCCCTTTTAATCAAACAATTTGTGACTTTCGTATTTCTCTTTTCTCTGCACAAATCTCTACCACATAGTTTTTACTTTATTATTCTACGTGCCGGTCAAACTTAGCAATCCTTTTAGGGACGGAAGGAGTATGTCATATATATACCATGAACTTTACATAAAAATCATGTTAGCACCATGATTATGTATTTTTCATTCATAAATTTAAGTTTATAGTGTTAAGCACATAGTTTAAAATACATAAAAATATTTATAGATGTGTAGTTAAAACTTCATACATTTACATTGTGAATGAAAAAATATGTCCATACTTCATAGTACTAATATTACTACCTCTGTAACGTAAGGATAGATCTTCCCACTTTCTTTTTTCAACTGTAATACTAACTCAATAATTTTCAAAATAATACACTATTGCACATTTACACCTATTTTTTTGGATTTATCCTTCATTCTATCACACTATTTCATTATCTTCCCACCATACCATCAATAATTTATACTTCCTCCGTTCTTAAATAAATGCAACGGTCAACATTTCACACTTGCCGAGACACAACTTTGACCATTAATATAAATGATTTTGTATTAGTAAAAAAATTAAAAAAAATTAGATTATGAAAATTTACAATGAGACAAGTTTAACAATATTTTTTTCATAAAATAATATTATTACATTAATAAATAAAACGTAGTCAAAGTAGAACATGTGAATAGTGTAAAAGTCAAAGTGTTGCATTTATTTAATAATGGAGGTAGTATTTCTTTCACTATTCATAATCTCACCCACTTTCAAAGTGGAAAGATCTCAATGTTACGAAGGTAGTACTTTTTATGTAAAGTTCGGGGTATAAAAATTACATATGGAAGTTCGAATGCTTGCATAATACATCTTCAAAGTTTGGAGTATTTAAATTATTTTCCCTTTTGATTTTTGAAGTACACACATTCAATTTTTAATGTAAAAGCTAAAGGGTCAAATAGGTCCTCTACCCTTCCAGATTGCTCAATTTGCCCCCTAAACCGAAAAAAGCTCCAATTGGCACCCTAAACTCGATAAAAAGATCCAAATTTCATTTTTTGCAGATTTCAATCCGATCACCGCCACGTCACCCGGTAGGGTGCCAACTATGCATGTGATGTGGCAACTTAAGGGGTCAAATAAGCCCCTAAACCCGACCGAATCGCTCAATTTACCCGCTCAACCCTAAAAATGTCAAAAAAAATTTTAAAAAAAGTAGAATTAAAAAAATAATAATTATTTAATAATAAATAATAAATACTTGTTGAAAATATAAAATATATTAAAATGGAATATTCAAAATAAAAAATAATGTATATTCAAAATAAAAAATAAAGTATAAACTAAAAAAATTATCGCACTTTATTTCCATATTTTATAACTGCTACGAATATTTTAAATAAGAAATAAATAATGTATTTGTGCAACTATATTTAAATTTTTATTTTATGTATTATATCTAATGGTTTGTAATATAACACAAATTTTAGGTTTTTGGTATGATAAATTATTCAAAGCATTATGTTTAAATTATCCATTTGTATTTTTTCATTTCATATATTTTAATTTATTTATAAAAATATTAAAAATAAGTACAATTTTTATGTAACTATTTTTTCAAAGTTACTAATTACACTTTTTTATATCTATAGTAATATAAAAATTACTCATATATAAGAATTAAAATATAAAAAATAGTAACTACATAATTATACTCCCTCCGTCACATAGAGAGGTTCCCGTTTCGGTTTACGATGCTTGACTGATGATAAAGCAATTTGATCCATGTTCAAGCTCTGATTATTTTTAGTAAATAAAATTTATATACTCGGAAACTACATATATATTTGTACAAAGTATGATCAAGAAAATTTAAATTTGATAAAAATTTGATATATAAAGCAAAAGATTAAGAATGATTTAAGTTGATCATGTGAATAGTGGACGAGAACCTTTGAATGGAACGGAGGTAGTATTATTTATTATAAATATATTGAAGTCTTTTTTACGTATTATATATAAGAATTAATTTCTTTTAGTTATATTTTATTTATTTATTTTGAGTTTACCAAAAAAATGTAAATATTTCACATTTATATTTGGGAAAATGGAAATTAATAATCCAACATTTTAGGGGTCTTCATTCGTTGATCCCACGTTATCGTTATTATGAATAATCCAACCTTTGCACCTCATCTTTATTCGCTGGTCCCTGACCGGTTGATGACCTGCTATTCCAGGTTTTTTCATTTTCTTTGCAAATCATTCAACCATAAATCTGACATTTCACAAATCTTCTCCAAACGGTCCCATGCATGTATCATTTTTCTTCTTTTTTCTCTAAAACTTTTCCCTTTTAGTTTTATCGTCTTGACTCTTTTATGCTCCTTTTTTGTCTTGTTCTTATTTTTACTACTTTTCAATTTATTTTATTTTTTTCAATGTTTATGTATTCCATTTTTCCTTCTTTTTCTTCTTCCCGTTTATTATTTCATTTTCATTTTTATGTATTTTTTCAAATTAATTTCCTTATAAAAGATCTTTTTCTCACCGTGCTAACTTTTTACTTTATTTTCTTTTTACTTATACTTATTTTCCTTTTCTTACCTTTATTCTACCACTAATATATTTTTGAGAAAAAAGCTCCAAAATAAGACTAAACTAATTACTGAATGCACAAATAGGACTATGTTATGTATCTTCCCAACATAGGACTAAACTAATTACTGAATGCACAAATAGGGTTGGGTTTTTTTTCTTTTCATTTTGCAATTTTTTTTTCAGTTTTGTTGTTATCCCTCGACCCCCCCCCCCCCACCCCCCACCCCCCAAACCTCCCCAAAACACTCAGCCCTACCCTAGAAAAAGAAAAAAAATTGAAAAAAAAAAAAATTGACCCAGGCTTGGCCCGAACCACGGCAACCACCTGGGCTGGTTCGCCCAAAACTGGGCCCGAGCCCGGCCCGCCCGACCCACCCAAACGGGCTAAAATCCCCGAACCGGCCAACCGGTTCCAGTCCGATCCAAGCCTGCACAGTAGCGGGCCGGGCCGGTTCTGGGCCGGTTTAGTCGATCCCTACCTAATATAAACAAATATTATACTCTGTATTTGTTTATATTAAATAACTATATGATAGAATAAAGCAAAATGATTCACTAAACTGTTTGCGCTTCTTTGTTATGAATCAACGATCCGTGAATGCAATTTTCGACGCGATTTTCAATATTGATAGGGATTGACCCAGGCCGGTCCGGTTCCGGGTAGGGCCCGAGAAGGCTTTTTTGGCAGATTGTGGGGCCCGAAACTGGCCCGGGTTAATACCGGGTCCGAGCCAAACCGGGCCGGGCGGTTCGGGCCGGGCCTGGTTCAATTTTTTTTTCAATTTTTTTGCTTTTCTAGGTTAGGGTTGGGTGTTTTGGGGGGTGGGGGTGAGAGGGGGTCGGGTGTTAATTAGAAACCAAAAAAAAATTGAACTTGACCCAAGCCCGGCCCGGCCCGGTTAGGCCCAGACCCGATATCAAATATTAAGATATTAAGAGTGATTGTTGACCAAGTGAGTATAATAGGTGGACGGGGGAGTATAATACTAACGATAGTAAAATATATATGAACAACAATGTGACTATAAATTACTGTGTATAACTTTTATAGGCACTGTGATATAAAATTGAAAAACAATTATAGTCACTAAAAGTAACGGAATACAAAGTTACATTTCTATCCACTTTTTATTTTTATTATATATTTTGATTCAATGCTAATAATAACTATTGACGATATGATACTAATAAGTAATAACAATAAATATAATAACAATGATGGCTGATATTAATATTAACATTACAAAAACATAATAACAATATACCATCGATCAAATGAGAAGATTCATATCAAATCAGAAATGTTCAGAATAATACCAGAAAAATTCAAAGCGGATCAAAATAATTCATATTGATTCAAATAATACCAGAAAGATTCACATCTCATCATAAACATTCAGTTCAAATTATTCCTTGTGGAACCAAAATGTTCTCTACGAAAGTGGGGACAGAGTTGCTAGTGCAAAGCAACTGGAAAAAAGTATTACCTCCCTCTCATAAGACCTTACCAAGTTTGTGCTAGGTGTGAAAAAGAAAGGTAAAAATTGTATGATTGGGAAGTATGAAGAGGAGAGAAATAAGCAAAATCACAAATTAAAGGAAAAGTGACAATTTTGGACAAATAAAAAAACAAAAGTTTGCAAAGTCCAAAGAGATGGGGGGTAAGTATCAAATGTAAATAAAAACTCAAACAATAACATTTTCATCAGCATTCATCATTATTACCCCAGTGCCGCAAAGGATCCCACCTACAGTGAGGTAAGGGGGTCGGATGTACGCAGTCTTACTCCTGTAATAAAGCACAGAGAGATTGTTTCCGAATGACCCACAGTGAAAATCGCGTTGAAAAATACATGGACTCACGGTTGCTTCACAATAAAGAATAAAGAAGCGCAGACAGTTTAGTGAGCCATTTTGCTTTAGTCCATCATATTCTCAAGTCAAAAAATAGTGAATCTTTGACTCCATTGCAAATGATGGAAAACTCAAACAATAACATTGTACAATACAAAATTGGTATTACATCTATAATTATTTACAACAGAGAATTGCGTAGAAGATTACCAAATTACCAATTGAAGAGTAAGAATTCTACTAGCACCAACATTATTGACTTGTTCTGTTGATGACCAGCAGATAACAAATTGATAAAATGGTGTCTTAGGTGTTCTTCCTTGCAGCATAAGAGCGATATGCAGCCAATCCAACTATACCTACACCAGCCGCAACTGCATTTTGAATTGACACAGTCAAAGAGATCAATGCAAATACAGAGAAGGATGCTAATCAACATCTGTTGGATAGTGCTTCCTTCGTTCTCAAACTATAATTATAAATGATCATTAATGAATATTTGTGTTTTTTAAGAGAATTATTTTTTTATCATTTGAGAATTTAAAGTAACAAGCAAAAAGAGATAAGTATGGAAAGACAAGCATATTATAACTATTTGGATGTCAGATATTCGAAGGGATATGTTATTGAGGGCTTAGTTATATAACTATATATACTGATACAAAAGGTGCTACATACGAATACATTCAATGGGATTCAAATTTACATATATGATCACCCACATTATGTTAATCTTTCATTTATATAGAATTTCAAACATACAAAGATGTGTGGTGTGAGTATGTGAATGCGTGTGAGTATTAGACTACTCTCCAAAAAGTTCCCCTTTAAACCAATGCAAAACAGAGGTCATTTTACTATGTTTACATTTATTAGTTTGCTACATGGATAGTTTTTCGTGAACGAAATGGTTTTAGTTAAAAAACAATTATTCATGATACCTGAGGCAAACATTAGAGAGCGGTTGACAAGCTGTCGGTATCGTTTCTGGTTGCGTCCAACTTCAGTTTCAGGAACACTTGAATGAGGATGTTCGGCTGCATTTACAATTCGACTGAAAACACTATTCAGGTCCCTCTCCTTCACGCTCAGATGAATAGGCGAATCAATACCAAAATTTTGGCATATCTGGAAGCAAATTAACAAGCAAATGCACATCTAGTTTAGAAAGCAATGTTTTTATCACATTTTTGTACGCAGAAAATCTTCAAAGTGATTAAAAGACGATACCAATGTTATTAAGGCTAACCAGGAAATTTTACACCAATATCACACACTACATAATAGTGTTGTAACAAACAAAGAGATGCTTATACCTTTGCAGAATCTTTTATTGCCATTGGATAAGAATCCAAGTCATCTTTTGCAGCAATGAAAAGACATGGCACACTGAAGCCACTAACTTCCCCTTGCCTCGCTACATCCATGAGCAATTCAGAGCTTCTTTTTAGAGAATATTCATCTGAGCTGAAGAACAGATGAATCCAAAGTGAATATGCTATGAAATTACATCTTACTATCTTGGAATTACAACAACAAAATGTTAGCAATATGTTCAGAAACTGTAAGTTTATTTGTTAGTTTATCTAATTTAATAGTTGTTGGAAATAATTTTACCTATACTTTAAGTTTGTTAGTTGGTAGAGCTTTATTAATATATTTCAAAAGTTTGGGACACTTAAAAAACTAAATACAATGAAAATTAGTTTCTCTTGTTTTAAGTAGGACTTTTTAATGGAAAAAAAATAAGTTTTCAAATAGGACATTTTTTAGACAAGAGCAATTGAGTGGATATGAGTAGTATAGGAAAAGTGCAAGATGTAAAATAAACTCTCTGAGAACCAAATGCAGAATTCAATCCATTCATGGCCATGCAGCAATCCAATAAGTGTGGTTGCACATTCCAATAGGAACATCAGGAACGTACTTGTTTTTGTACTCTTAGAGTAGTATATGTTTGGTCTAGCATCTAGTAGGCATTTTTGATTTACTGAAAATATTGTGTATTAGTGCATTCAATTTTCCATGCCCTCAAAACTAAATGGTATCATATTCTCACATACTAATGAAGTTCAGCCCATATGCATGAACTGAAGTGAACTAACCAAGATGTGATTAGTTATGATAAAATAGCATTTGGCACCCACCTATCATATACAAACACTGCTATGTCACAAGCTGCCAAAGACTCCTTAGTAGATAACATTTTTTTTATTCCATCTTCTGGAATCTCTCGAAGTATAAGGGTTTTTTTAATTCCCTGCATTAAAATGCAAATCATTCGCCAATCGCCATTCATGTTATTTCAGTTGCAATGGAATGATAAAAAATATTCACTGACAGCTGCAGTTGTGATCCATAATCATATCGATTGCAAAATTTGCTCAAGACAAATGACAATATTGAAAGAGAGCTCACCCCGGGACAGTCAACAGCATTGACAACAAACCGCTCTTCAGTTGTAGGTACATACTCATCAGAGAAGGGCCTGTACTTTATCACATCAAAATTTATAACATATGAATTAGTTGTATTATACTAAATATTATATAATCATATTATATAATATATCTCCTGGAAGTACAACCTAACAGAAGAAATTAATTAGCTATAGGTCCATTTCTGCACCTTCCTAAAAATGATTTCAATAAAGAGGACTTTCCAGCTTGCTTAGGTCCGAAAACAAAGCACTGGTAAACATTCCTATCTGATTGTTGCTTCTTACAGTCAACCGATCTCCGCCTAGTAACACGTAGTGCAGATGCTGCATCACAGTTATACCCAATATATGTTAGGTTGGCCAAACTTTGTGATGGGTCCAGTGATGTCATAAGCGCCCACTGCAATAAATGCGAGGAAAATGATCAGGAAAATGCCCAAATCACATAAAATCATAAAGATAAAGATAAAAATAAAACATTACCAATAGTCCAATACACAAGCAAGGACTTTACACTTGTTACATAACCAAGCATTGTAGATATATATAATGGCAAGCATAACATGAACATCCCAATGCCTCTCCAATTTGTATGTTCATTAAAACAACAGGACACTAGCAAAAAAATGGAGCCGCTACTTGGCAACCTCATTGGTACATTATCCAAAACAAAGGATGTTGAAAATAGTCAATTACTCCAAACACACTATAAGTCGATGGGTTTTTTACTTTTAGTAATGTGTGCCCAAGGACACATGAATATGCTAACAAAAAATTGTGGTGTTTCACTTTCAAGTTTCAAGAAAGGATTTGATAATTTCAAGTGAGAGAAATAAGTGATTCAAAATCGAGACGATTACCAGTAAAATCATAGTCATCATCATTACCGATGATAGTTTAAGATAACTATAAGCATTAAATACTCATTAATTACTTCTTATCATACGTCCCATGGGCACAATTTAGAAATCCACTAAATCAAATATGTATGCCATAAGGTTTATTATAAAGTGCGAAAACAGGACATGTTTTTACTACTTCATACTGAGTACAGCATGCATACCAATTATTTACAGTGGAAAAAAATGGTGGGTGTGCAGTCATGAGTCTGTTAAGTGTTTTCCAAATAACTTCTTCAAAGACATCTCTGTTTTCTTGATAATTTGACATTCATTTTTTACCAATTGAACACAGCAAGGAGATTTCATTAGCAAACAATGAACTTGTTTGATTCCATTGAGAAGAACAAGTTTTGGAAAGACTAAACATGAATACAATATCCATAGAAAGAGTATAATGACAAACAATACAACTAAGCATCAACACTTTTCCACAAGAACCTAGATTAAGACTTGAAAAGTGAAATGCTGATATCAAGGCAGAAACAATGTTGTGGAACTCATTAGAAGGTTTAAATTTGAAGAAACATCACTTAAGAACGATTACTTGGGGAAAAACAGACAGAAAATGTGTGAACAGTGCTCATCAAGGATGGCCTAAACTTTACCAACAAATATTCAATCTATAAGGGTAGCTGAGATACTAAACCTGAACCACTAAGGGTTACATACATTTTCTGCACCATTTCCTTTCAGTGTTGTTCACAAAAAAAAACATGCTTCCTTAAGGAAATAATTGTGTGGTTGATACCACCACTGTGAATCTATGGCATACAATTATGGGGCATTGAGAGTATATAGTTATATACTATTATAAAACTATGGTACACCGCAACTGACAAACCTAGCATAAGTCACACTTTGCACAGATAGGATATATGTACATACCAACAGAAAGAAACACACACTAAAGACATGCATAGTAATTTCTTTACGGATGTGCCCAAATTAGGATTCTATTTCTCAAAAAGATAAATATTTTATGAAAAAAGACATTAGTGCCCCTACTTTATGAGCATAATAAAGTAATACAGCAGGGACAAAAAATGGTCAAAAGAAAAAGTTGAATAGACTAAATATGTGTGAGCTATTCAAACTCGGAACTTAATCACAATAAGGGAGTATAAAGATACTGAACTTGCCAAAAAAAGTACTAATGAATAAAAAGAGGGAACCCAATGAATCAACATCGAACTGTGAAAAAGCATGTTCTTAGTTTTAAGAGGAAATGTCTTCGCATAACTTTGAGAGGGAAGAAGAGAATATGGGTTCCAATAATCCAAACCTCAGACAAGAATGCAGAAAGTGATAAGCCCCCCAATATAGTTCTTTCAACTGCCTCATTGTAGGGAGCTTCTTCCCAAGGACTGAAACGACAAACATAATGCAATATCAGAAAAGTGTTTATTAAGAAAGTTCTCTGATCATAAAAGTGGTACTGGTAAAGGAGTCCTACCTTTCTGGTGCTGTAGAAAACAGATCATCAATCTCAGAATTTCTAAGCACGTCATCCTATCAAGCAAAGAGGTAAAAACCAAAACTTAGGAATATAGCAAACCCATGGACATCTGTAAGAATTACCCTAACACAAAAAAATAGAACTGCGCATTGAAGAAAATTTTATAGTTTTATGATAAAAAATGTTTGTGTTGGGTGAACAAAAAGGTTTAACATAAACTTGGAATGTTTAAGAATCGCAAATGCATCACTGGAATGACACCAGTCTCCTGCAAGTCAAGGTCATAGTGTGTATATGTGTAAAATCATTGCGTGTGCACACACATATCAGAACCAAAAGATAGAATTCATACTTTATCATCATCAAATGTACTAAATATTCCCTTCAAGAACTCAACAGCTTCACTAGTCAATTCAATGCTCTGCAGGAAGCAAGAGCACCATCAGAAAGAAAATAGCAAATATGAACATGTCAATAAATGTGTTTGTGCTAGGGCTGCATGTATAATGCAAGGTTGTCCACCAAATTAATAGAAATTATGATGAAGACAAAAGGTTTAGTTTTTCTGATGTATGGGAATCAGTGAATCACTGATGGCTTCAAATGAAAGCATTGCATGGCCAATGATTGGATTTCAAGAATCAAGGACACATATGTCTCTATCTAGTTGACTAGTCCTAATGGATAGGCAGCTAAAATTATTTAATAAAATAACAAGTAATAAAACCATGTCTCTACAAATTAGGTCTTGTAACATTCAAATAAAATTCAATCATATTGATGGATATTTGCAACCAATCTATGATTAAGTACTCCTTCCCTCCTCAAGTCCAACAACTCGACAAGTAGAGAAAATTCAGGAAGGGAAAGTAGAACAAGCAACCTAATTTTACACTGTACTCCGTATTATTTATAGAATTCAAAAACAAGTCTAGTAAATGACTTGCCTGATCTGAGGCTTTTTTAAATGGAATAGTCAAGTAATCACCCCTCAGTTTAATTTCATCATTATACCCAAATTTCCTTAAGACTGTCCAAGTTGTCTCAAGCCGACCTTTTTCTATAAAGAGAGCATGAAGAAAAAGAAACCCTGTTAAAGTAAGTCCAAGATCGTTGACACCTGCTGGTAGCTTCTCCTGTACTACCCGTTTAACTCCTACTATTTCGGCTGGCTGGAGCGCTGCATTGAAACATTTGACCTGTTTACATAAACAGAAAAGTCAATTCATTAATAAGAGTGGGTGAGGGACAATTTACAATTTGAGAGAGAGAAAACACATTCATGATTATGATACAAGGCTTAAGTTGGTATACTAAAAGACATCAGAGCAAAAAACGACCTGAAACTCATTCAGCTCTTCATCATTGAGAGCACCATCCTCATCATGATCACAAAGGCTAAATATCCTTTTTAAGGCCCTAACACAACGAGGTTTAAGAGTCTGTGCTTCATGATCAAATAGAGGAGCTGTTGGATGAAGTACTGCTTTTTGTGCATAATAGATTACTTCAGGTACCTATGAAGAACAACAAAAAATATTTCATACTCTATGTAAAAAATACGCATGCAAGCTGGAAACATGGAACAGAAAGAACTTATTTTTGACAAACCTGAACCAAATTAGCTGCAGAACATTCTATACAAGTCTCAATTTCCCGAAACTGCTTCATGATAGGCGCCATGACCTGCTCTAGATTCATATGATGCTCCTCATCTCGCTTATCTAGCTTGCATCCAACAATAACAACAGGTGCTTTGATCTATCCATCCATTATTAATAAATTATGGTCATGTTCGTATATTAATAAATAAGTACTTCGTATAGCTTATTTTTCTTTTCAACTCATGCTGTCATGCATGCTATCTTGGTCGTTAGAGTTATTTAATTAATAAATAAATGGGAGTTAGAGTTATTTAATAAATGACGCATTGAAATTGATTATAGGGAGAGGAGCAAAAATAGAACCAGAAAATGTCATCTTGATCGTTAGAGTTATTTAATAAATGACGCATTGAAATTGATTAAATTTTCATTCCGACCAAGAAGAAAAGGCATCCAAATTGATTAGTAAATGAACCTCCAGACGACGAAATTCGTGAAGCCAGAAAGTGCTTAAGCGATTCAAGGTGGAAGGTTGATCACACGCATAGGTTAGTACAACTGAATCCGCTCGCTTCAATTCTTCAGCGAGCCTGCCCCTGCTCTCCAAACTAGATTGCATTTGCATATCACATTGAGTATAATCAATCATCAGCAAAGGCCACGTAAAAGAATGAAATGACTATAGCAACATTTGAAAGAACCTGGATGATGTATCAATGATTGTAACGGGAACGTTCTCAGGATAGAGATCTGCCGGTAGGCGAGTGGGAGGAAGGACTGGCGGAACATCTTCCGGGAAGGATTCGGACGCGGCCGCCGCGATGAGACTGGACTTGCCGGTTGCGCGGTCGCCGACGACCACCACTCGGATGTTTGTGCGGCCACCGGAAGTAGAAGCGCCAGGCATTTGATCAAAGAGACGCTGAGGTTGGCTCGGAGGGTGAGCGCGCGGCGAGAATTATATTGGCAATAGCTGACTAGCTGAGATGAAGTGAACCTTTTCGTAGGTTTCCTTTTTTTTGTTTTTTTTGTTTCCTAAGATTATGAGGAAGTCTAGATTTTCATTATTCATGAATAATTCAATCTTTTTACCACATCTTCATTCACCGGTTCTTGACCGATTTATGACCTGTTATTCCAAGATATTTTCTTATCTTTGCAAAACATTATGTGATCATAAGGTGGAAATTATGGTATAATATTTTGCAAAGATAAGAAAATAACTTAAAATAACAGGTCATAAATCGGTCAGGGACTGGTGAATGAAGATGTGGTGCAAAGGTTGGATTATTCATGAATAATAAAAAGGTGAAACTATTGTAAGAAGATCGCTAAAAGGTTGGATTATTAGTTTCCATTTTCCCTAAAAAAAGTTAAACGTCTCCAAGGGAGAAAACGTGTAGTAATTAAGTTAACTTGTATGAGATGGAGTAAATACTACACTATGTTGCATTTGATATTCGTAAGTACACAAACTCGAATTTTTAGTGTTAATTGAGTACACTCGTTAGATTTATACGTTAATATGGCTGAGTTGGATTACAAAATGCTGAGTAAGAAGGCGTAATCGACCACGATTATAGCGTCGACCTTCAGGAAGTCGATCAAAAAGGGGAAGTCAACCTTCGGAGGGTGACCTGTGATGGGCGTCGACTTGCGGGGGTGCATCGATCAAGGGGAATTCGACCTGCATGGGACTGGTGTCGACCAAGGGGCTGGGGGTGACGTTGACATTCAGGAAGTTGACCTATTAGCATTGTTAGCCAACTCAAACGTATTAACGTGTTAATCTAACGGGTGTACTCGATAAACACTAAAAACCCAAATTTGTGTACTTAGAAATATCATATGCAATATAGTGTAGTCTTTACTCCACTTCATACAAGTTGATGTACTCAATTGACTCTTTCCTCTATAGAGAAGGTTTATTAAAAAAAATTGACAATAATAATCTCACCTTTGTCCCGGACTTCTAATAACAAAAATAGGATGATACATCATCCCTGAAGGTTTTCCAGAACCGACCGAATAGTTATGTCGGAGGATGTAAAATGAGCTTTGATTTCACACTATTGGAAAGAGAGTGGGGCTCCATTTTAATTTCTAAGTCTTTACTTGGAGTTGAATCTAAGACATCTCTCTTGTGACACTCTCTTCCTATACTAAAGTAACTGTTAGTAATATTATTGTAAATCAGTTTTATTTTAGTAATATTTCTAAAAAAACTTCATAATTTAATGATGTGCCAATTCAGAGGTTAGAATTCACTCAAAAATGTCTCCTTTAATTCACTTATATTGTATGGAGTATGAAAGTAAAGATTAGGTGAAATTGTAAAGTTAAATTGAAACAAACATTATACTTGAAAATGCACACATCATCACCATAATGGAGGTTTAGAGTTACTTTTTCAACAATTGTCATATCGAAACTACTCTTTGTTTTTTCACAAATTATTGAAGGTTTCCACGAATACATTTTATAAATTATTACATTTACATATATAGTTTTCATATTTATTATTTATGCATTAACTTTTCTGCTACATAGATAACATACCCATAATACACATGCATCTTGTAATAAATTATTTTTACTACTTCAATACTTCATTGACATAAAAATGATACACATATACTCAGTATATTTTATAAAAAAAATCAGATCACAAAAAACAAAATATTAATCGTTAAGAATATAAGTGCCATTATGATCCGATTCTTGTAAGTCATGGCTGGTTAAATTTGCTTAAATCTATTCTAGTGTGGTATTTTATGTGAGTATTTTACTACGATTCATGTCTAATTTGATTTGTTTAAAATTGATCTGGTTTAATTTCATGTGTTTTTTTATGTATGATCGCATCTGGTTCAGGCTATTCTGAAACTGAAATTAGTCCAACTGAAAATATCTTAGTATACTTCGAACATTACTACTACAGTATTGCCATGTTTGTTTATCATAATCTCTACCATATTAATATCATCATAAAAGTTATATTCATTAATTAATCAACAAATATACATTAACTAACTTGCCAACAATTTTTCACTTATTTAGGAGGGAAATTACTAATCTATTTGATTCTTCACCATATATATATATATATATATATATATATATATATATATATATATATATATATATATATATATATATATATATATATATATATATATATATATATATATATATATATATATATATATATTATTGTTTGATGCATTTTTGTAAAAACTACTTGATGGAGTATATGGCCTGGGAACCCCCGGTCCACAGACTCCTACTACGCAAATAAAGGCCCAACAGGCCCAGGAAGCACAACAGGCCCAAATCACAGCGCCCAGAGTACCAAGCGGCCCACAGTGCGCACCAGGGGTGCCTTCGGCCCCCTGGCCGAAGGCTCCAATTCTCACAGGATAGCCAAATCGGGAAAACAAAGTTACTGGGAGAAAACGGCGAAAATCAGTAGCCCTCGGCACCTAGAGCCCTCGGCACTAAGGAGGTCCCCGGTACTCAGAGCCCTCGGCTAGTCATCTACAGCCGAGGGCACCTTTTCCGACATGATATCCGCTCCACATGCGTATAGATCACCGTACCAGGTACGACGTCACATCCAACAGCCGCATTAAATGTGGCCACATGCGGTTGCCAGCGCCAACCAGTTGAGGTGACCCCTCGGCCAATGGATGCTTGACACGTGTCCCTATCCGGCATTTATTGTTGCTATAAATAGCACCCCATTTCCCCGTTGTAAACCACGCTGAAAACGCTGAATACATTTTCTAATATACTCTCTCTCTCTACTTACTTACTCTGACTTCTCTCTAGTTATTCTCCGCAATAACCCCTCGGGTAAGCTACCCCCCGGGTACACTATCCATCATTTGGTGCTCTCGTTGAGAGCCGAACAATCAAGTAAGAAACCCTCCCCCTCGACCAAACACAAAACACCCAGCTAAGATGGTGAGAACAACTCGTGCCAACTCCAAAAATGTAGAGGACAGGAACCTGGCCCTCAGCGAGGTCGACGTCCCCGAAGCCTCTAACAGGGCTCCCGGGGGCGGCGTCATCGCCGGGTTGGACCAGACGGCTGTCGACCTACGCCAGCAGATTCAACAAAATGCCCCTGATGCCCGCCTCGGCATCGAGGCCAAGAAGAAGGACCGGAGCGAGAATCAAATTAGCCCTCCGGTCATCACAATCGACGTACAATCGGCGCTCTCCGCCTTCATCCAGACGCTCACCCAGAACCCGGGTGCCTTCGACACTTTGGTTCCCCTCCAACCTCAGGTCGGGGAGAATATTATGCCTCCCCCTCATCCACAACCCCTCGGTAACCCGGTCCTCCGGATTGGGAACTCCGAGGGGGTCGTGGCCCAAGATACGGCCTCCCAGGAAGTCCAATCCCGGGACCACCAAAACATAAACAAAGAACAACTCCGGACCTCCACCCTCGAGAGACTCGGAGGGGCGCAAGACCACCGAGGGGTCCAAGACCGCCTCGGGGGGGAGGTGTTCCTGAGGCCTCAGGAAAGTGGTGGATCCGTCTCCAGGGCCAATGAAAGACGTCCCCCTCAGGACAAAGACAAGGCACCTCTCCATGCCAACGACGCCCGCCACCAAATCAACCAGGCCCACTCAGCCCGCGTCCATTCGCAAGGGGCGGAGGCCCTCCCGAAGGACCCCTGGGACGAAATCATTGCGGCCCTCCAGCGCCGGCTTGACGAGATGGAGGCCACCAAAGCACACGCCACCGCTTCTGCCCCTCATACGGACCTCAACTATGAGGCGATGTTGGCCAATATGGAGGAAGTGCAGAAGAAGATAGTCGAGGGCTCCGGGGGACCCACCATACAGCTCTGGACCCGGACGCCATTTACCCTAAGGGTATTGGCGGCCCGGATCCCGGAAAAATACCGAGGGCAGCTCATCAAGCCCTACGACGGAAAGACTGACCCCAATAGCACTACAGGAGGTATCAAAACAGTATGATGATGGTGGGGGCATCAGATGAATATTTGTGCCACTGGTTCCTCTCCACCTTAGAGGGGCCGACTTACGAATGGTTCAATCGATTGCCCGAGGGCTGCATTGACTCATGGCAAGAACTCGCCCAGCGATTCTTGACGCAATTTGCGGGAAGGCGCCGCACAAGAAAACACTTCTCCCACTTGCTAACAGTGAGGCAGAGGAAGGAAGAGACCCTTCGGGACTTCCTGGAGCGCTGGAGAACGGAGGCTGATAAAGTTGATGGCGCTGACGACGGGACCCTCCTGGCCCTCCTACAAACAGTACTCCGCCCTGGGAACTTCTCAACGAGCCTCATCATCGAGCCTCCCCGCGTTTACATAAGGGCCCTACAGCAGGGGGACCGGTACGCTGAAGCCGGGGAGGTGGGGAAATGCCACCACGTCCCGGATCAGCAGCGCCCTCGGCCAGACGACAGAGGTAACCGGGGGCCGGGGGCTCCCCGCAATCATCCTAAGGATCCTACTGTTAGTATATATGTCCTAGCGACAATCATTTCTTTAAAGACATATGTACTTAATCACATTTAGTTTTTATATTGGATATATACACGGTATTGCACTTTATGAATGATTGTTTTCGATTGTCAATGTTTTATTCATAATTGTGTTCCCTTGGATTTATGTTGTCAATAAGTAAGTGGGAGCTTATATGATATAACATAAGGTCCTAAAATAGCCCCAATCAATGATCATCAAGAATGGGATATTGATGATATACGATAAGATTGGTATGTGGACTGCATCATACTTTTAGAAAGTATAGTTGATCTCACGACTATGAGTTCCTGTAATTCATGATGGTCACATAGATATTTTAGAGAATATTGGCATACCCACCGAGAAACCATTTGATAAGTTCTATTCATGTGTCTATGGGATTATCGGCGTATAGAGTAGTGTAATAGTCCTCCGACTTGAGGTCAATACGTACTACATGTGCGGAGTGATGTACTTTGATCATGACCAACGCTTGCACTCCAATCGGGGTAGATACGG